GCGTCGTGGATCCGGGCCACAACCCCCACACCCCCTTCCGCCACTTGGCAGAGGAATCCCCGGACGCCGTCGATTGTCTCTTGACGACGGTGGCAATAAACAGGCGCGTCGTCGAGGATTGCATCGATTCAGGCGCCCTTGTCTCATAGACGGCCCCCGGAGCATGGGGAAGGCGCTCGACCTGCCCTTGGAGGGTATCTCCCACGAAGGCCGCTTGGTGAATAACCTGCAGTACAATAATGCCCTCTTTCAGTACAAGGTGAACGTCGACGCCAAGCTCTTCGGCATTCACGACCCCGATGGCCTGTACGGTGTCTTCCCCAACATCGCCGGATTGAGACCGTGCTGCTGTGAACAATTGCCTTCCGGTATTTCCGCATCGAGTTCCGCTCAGATCTCTAAGCAAGTTGCCTGGCCATGGCTAAAGAGGATCCTTATCTATACCTTTATCTATATTCATCCCTGAGAGATGCACCGTTCTGGGTCGACGTGGACCTGTGGCTAAGAGGTGGCTCCATACTCCTCAGGATCAGAACCCCACTATCCAGGAGTATGTATATATATATATATAAAACAACACCAAATTCCCAACCAGTCCCTGCAAGGTACCCTCAGCTATGTGCACCAAAAATATGTCTTGCTGTGACCATTACTATAACCTTACAACTATGAGTTCTAACCTATTTATGAACTCGCATATGCCTCACTAGATTTCCTTTCTCTGAGAAGGATTTCTTGCATAACTCACAGCCAAATGGCCTCTCATTTGTATGTACTCTTATGTGTTCCACTAAATAATCTTTCCTAAAGAAAGACTTACTGCAGACCTCACAACTATAAGGCTTCTCTTTAGTATGTGATCTTCTGTGTCTCATCAGGTTACTTCTCACAGTGAAAACCTTACTACAAAGTTCACAAGTATAAGGCTTCTCATTTGTGTGTACTCTCATGTGCACAGATAGGTCACTTTTCACAGAGAAAACTTTGCTGCAAACCTCACAGCTGTAAGGTTTCTCCTTCATATGAACTCCTTTGATGTGCTTCACTAAATGGCCTTTCCTAGAGAAGTCTTTGTTACATACGTCACATATGTAAGGTTTCTCACTTGAATGTACTTTCATGTGTTCTACTACATAATCTTTTCTCAAAAATGACTTACTGCACACCTCACAGCTAAAAGGCTTCTCTTTTGTATGTACTCTTATGTGTTCCACTAAATAATCTTTCCTAAAGAAAGACTTACTGCAGACCTCACAACTATAAGGCTTCTCTTTAGTATGTGATCTTCTGTGTCTCATCAGGTTACTTCTCACAGTGAAAACCTTACTACAAAGTTCACAAGTATAAGGCTTCTCATTTGTGTGTACTCTCATGTGCACAGATAGGTCACTTTTCACAGAGAAAACTTTGCTGCAAACCTCACAGCTGTAAGGTTTCTCCTTCATATGAACTCCTTTGATGTGCTTCACTAAATGGCCTTTCCTAGAGAAGTCTTTGTTACATACGTCACATATGTAAGGTTTCTCACTTGAATGTACTTTCATGTGTTCTACTACATAATCTTTTCTCAAAAATGACTTACTGCACACCTCACAGCTAAAAGGCTTCTCTTTTGTATGTACTCTTATGTGTTCCACTAAATAATCTTTCCTAAAGAAAGACTTACTGCAGACCTCACAACTATAAGGCTTCTCTTTAGTATGTGATCTTCTGTGTCTCATCAGGTTACTTCTCACAGTGAAAACCTTACTACAAAGTTCACAAGTATAAGGCTTCTCATTTGTGTGTACTCTCATGTGCACAGATAGGTCACTTTTCACAGAGAAAACTTTGCTGCAAACCTCACAGCTGTAAGGTTTCTCCTTCATATGAACTCCTTTGATGTGCTTCACTAAATGGCCTTTCCTAGAGAAGTCTTTGTTACATACGTCACATATGTAAGGTTTCTCACTTGAATGTACTTTCATGTGTTCTACTACATAATCTTTTCTCAAAAATGACTTACTGCACACCTCACAGCTAAAAGGCTTCTCTTTTGTATGTACTCTTATGTGTTCCACTAAATAATCTTTCCTAAAGAAAGACTTACTGCAGACCTCACAACTATAAGGCTTCTCTTTAGTATGTGATCTTCTGTGTCTCATCAGGTTACTTCTCACAGTGAAAACCTTACTACAAAGTTCACAAGTATAAGGCTTCTCATTTGTGTGTACTCTCATGTGCACAGATAGGTCACTTTTCACAGAGAAAACTTTGCTGCAAACCTCACAGCTGTAAGGTTTCTCCTTCATATGAACTCCTTTGATGTGCTTCACTAAATGGCCTTTCCTAGAGAAGTCTTTGTTACATACGTCACATATGTAAGGTTTCTCACTTGAATGTACTTTCATGTGTTCTACTACATAATCTTTTCTCAAAAATGACTTACTGCACACCTCACAGCTAAAAGGCTTCTCTTTTGTATGTACTCTTATGTGAGCTACCAATCTACTCTTACAAA